ATATCAATATGTCTGTATATGTCTGTGTCACTGTCCATTGTTTTTTTTGCAGGCAAGTCACCATGAAAGGACTTGGACGTTCTGTTATAGATGTGTCTTGTTTTGGATCAATCCAAATGCTTTCAGAATTCAACGAAAAGACCTGTGAACGTGACAGGCTAGGTTCTCTCTAGTTGTGTTTCCTTTAAATCATGCCATGACCTGGTTTGGTAAGATTTGGAGCGCAACCGGCTTTGTCGATCTCGTCGGCCTTTGATGCCAATGGCTGTGCCTCATGGTTATAAAAAGGCTCCCCTTCAGCAACATTGGCGGGACCCCCAAAGACAGTTGATCCAAGAGCCACCGCTTGGCCCCTTGGCCCCATGTTTGAGCCTCTTTGAGACCCACTAAAGGATTTGGATATGCACCATACCTGGGATTTTGTTGACCCATGCGCGTTTGAATGTAGACACAGGAGAAATTCATGATTAGAGCATTTCTACATACAAACCTGGTTTTTAACAAAGCAAACTCTATACATACAGAACGGTGTGCACAACACTCTGCAAATGGCCACCCAGAAGGCACATCCACAGGAACTTAAAAGTTTGCACGCTGCTTTGCGAGCTCCCAAGCAGGGCCTGGCCCTCCATGCTTTGCCCAGGTCACTTGACCTGTCTTGAGACTCGTCTTTTCTACTGCGCCACGGCCAAACTTCTTGACCACGAATGCCCGGCTAAAGACCAAGACCTCAATCGCCTCAGAGAAACTGAACGTCAAAGGGGCAAATGTCTCTTCTCAAATATGTTGAAATCAAAACACATTGTTTACACAATTCCTGGATTCAATCAGTTCCAGAAAGAGAAAAGGAATTCCATTGTGGGGTTCAAGTGACTGCACCACGGTCACTATGGATCGTATAGCCTTTGCGACCCTTGTATTCCTTGTCTTTGAAAGGTCTGGCTTCCATTGGCAAATCATCCAGCAGTTGGCCATGGAATGAATCACACCGCACCTCCGGGTCAGCGCGCTCATCAGCCTCCTTGGCTGCTTTCGCATTCTGCTTTACCTCAAGATCGGATCGCAATGATGGAAGGATCAGCAAGATTGGGCTATAGCCGTATATAGCACAGAAATATACAGAAATGATGAGAACATCAACAGTACAAATAAGTTGAACATAGTGTCTGCAGGGTAGCAAATGCACAGTAATCAAGGCAAAATGTACCAGATACCTGGGCTGAAAGACTGTGGTTGGCAGAACAACTCGCATCGGCTGATCTTTCAAAGCTGCTTCAATCTGATCGGCGGCGCGAGGCTTCTTGCACCAAGTAGACTTCGGCTGGACACACTCACCCTCACCCTCGGCTGAACCATACAAGTCCATGTAGCTCAACGCCCGCTTCAAAGGCTTCTCCTGGCACGATTAGAAACCCCACCCGCCCACACATACCCACACACAAATGCACAATGCGCAATCTCTTACCGTGAAATGCTGCAGCCATGAATGAACCTGAAAATGTCACAAGCAAAAAAACAAAGTGCCTGGTAAGTCTTTGCAGGGATTGAAGCTGCCGGCTTGTTGTCCTTCAGGCGAGATCAAGCTTGTGTTTGGTCCATTCCTACATAGTGGACTGCAACAATGAAGACTCCATACAAAATACCATGAAAAAAGAACCCTATCCTGTTCTTCAAGTTGTTTCATCTTCTGATCATAGATCCACTTGAGGTAGTGAGATGTTTGAGCCAAGGTTGGAGAGATCACAGCCCCAAAATCGTTGACCATTGTCGCGGCATAGACCATATATTCATCTATGACCTCCGGTTTCAACATGAACCTCACCACAGAGGGATGATTGACCATCTTGGAGTTCATATCTGGGGAAGACAGCTCTTCCATCAAACTTGCGCGCAGCTTCTGCAAGACTGCTTTCTCCTCCCTGTCCATACGGCAGACCTCGTTGAAGGCCTTGCCCAGCCACCCGGAACCCACCTGCGAGTCTCGGTGCGGGGTGTCGCTTGACTTGTCCGATTCAGATTCACCACTTGCAGAAGCGGGCTGGGTGCCTGCTACTGAAGGCTCACCGTCAGAATCATTGGATGATTCCCGATTGCCTTCAGAACCCCCCCTACAGGTTCACCAGCTTCAGAAGATTCAGAATCGCTGTCCTCCGACAAAAGGGCTCGCACATCTTCCCCCCACTTCATGAGGACTGCAGGCGACAGGCGAAGGAGCAGTATCACCAGCTGCCTCAGGGATTGTGATTTGTGGGCAAGAAAGAAACGATGGCTGTAGAAGCCTTCAAACTTTGAGCCAAGCCAACCTCAACATATTTTTTTGACCTTGCCTCGACACCACGAGGTGGAGAGGGAGACAAGCACTGCTTCAAGTCCAGCACACGTGCATCGTGGGCACCATGTGAGTTACGCCACAAGTACCGAATGGCGCCCACACAGCGCTTAGCCTTGACCCCCTCTCTCCCAGCCAGGAACATCCTGGATTCACCCTGCTTTGGCCTGAAGAGCTTGCGGTTCAACTTGGCATCCAAACGAAGGAACGCATCAGTCAAATAATATCCGCTTGGCACCTGCAGCGGCTGTGAAGCTGACGGGTATGTTCAGTATGGTTCTCGGTTTGTTTAATTGCAATCACGCGTTGTTGTAATCAAATAAACCCCATGGCCTTAGATGGGCTGTCCATGACAATGGGCTTCAACCAGCAATAATTGTTGGCCAGCTCTTCAGCAGAGGGCCGTGCAACTGCGCTATCCAGCAAGATCAAGTCCCCTCCCGTGTAGGTGTCAGACTGGACAAGGCTAATCACCGTGACCGGAAGATGCTCCAGCATGGAAGTGGCCAAGGCTTCCTCATCAAAAATGGTTCAAAAGAGAACTAAGATACATTAAGAAAATTAATACACCCCCAGACATTCTTGCATGCGCTCCGCATGACTGTCCGATTGACTCTGTGCAAATTGAACCGTGCACCAAATGGCAAAAAAACATAAAGTCCTGGCTAGTCGAAAGTCTGACAGAATCCAAGGGTCAATATGGGATTCTTGCCATGTGACTTTGCCAGCACCTCAACCCCAGACGCGCGCGAACAAACGCATACACACACACACGAACGATACAATTTGTAAGAGGCTTCCTTGCTATGTGTACTGGCTGCATGCAAACATGTAATAACCTGAGTACTGCGCGCACAGAACGCCACGGCTCTGCAACTGCAGGAGCTTTGGGTTGCAAGGCATCAGCGGCGACAATTGCCATTGGAGCTAGATTCCAAGCAACGCACACCAACAAGTTCCTGTAAATTGATGGCTGCAGGCGCCCAAACTGCCACCGCATTCCAAGCAAACAAGCAGTCAACCACACGTGTGCGTGCCAACTCAACTACTTACATAGAATCCTTTCCAAGTTTTGTATTCGAACTTGACTTGACAGGGTATGAACTTGAGGCGTATAGATATGGACAACTGTTGCTAGCTCGAACTGAAGCCCTGAAGATCCCTGGAGCCTCCACACCCCTTGGAGCTGGCGGATGCCCAAAAGCGTCAGCCTCGCGTAGGTTCAATGGCGACGCTGACGGACCAGCTGAGATCTCGTGAGATCTGAAGGGGTGGTTGTGAATAAAGGGGTCTAAAAGCTACTTCAGGATGTTAGACAAGACATGTGACTCACAGATACTCATGACGCTTAGACAGTAGCATGGACTGCCATAAAAGCATCACCACAAACAAACTCGTTCCACGTCTTTGCTGCAGATCTTCGCAAAGTTTTGCAAGCGATATCTCTGAGCGCTTGACGGAGCGCCCGATCGTGATAGGCCAACAGCCCCATTCAAGGCTATGACCCATGGGTTCAAGCGCAGATTTGAACTGCAGGATGTGTATACGCCCTTGTTATATCAACTCTGTGAACCCAAAAGAAAGTGGACAGAATTTACTGTAGATGAGTTTGGTGGACACACGTGGACACAAATGGCCGAACCACTGAGCGGCAAAACTGGCACGGCCGGGCTCCATGAAAGGTGCCGCTTGCAAGACTAGGCGCCATCTCTCAAAGAAAGAGATCGACAATCTTCAGAGATTGGTTGAAAAAATCTGAGTTGCGAAGGCTTTTGAAACGACAAGCACTCCTCGAAACAACACGAAAACGCGTCAACGCGAAGACGATCGATCGATCTATCGGTATTATATATATATTTATATGTACGTGTGTGGGTGTGAACATGTAACATGTTTTTTGTTGGGTATTTTTTTGGGCACCTATGTTCAGCTCCCTTCTAGACCAATGTTTGTATGATTTTGTATGCATTTTTGCTTAATCCACCTGCAAAGCACATGGCTCAAGCACCAAGCGCGCACGATAACCATAGCTATAAGTCACCAGCTCTGTGCATTATAGTTCACCAGCTATGGTGAAACAAACGGCATCATTTGTACAAACCGCACTTGGTCTCGCCGTTTGTAGAAAAGCTGTCCACCGCAAAGCTTTGGATTCTCTAGGTGAGCAGTGTAGTCGACACATCCTTTCAAGGGTTTCTCCATACGCTTGTGTTTAGGCAATGTTGCCTGTGTGGTGATCATCTTGAAAGGGGGCAGCAGCACGATGTTGGGAGTCAACATGTCCACAATCTTGTTGAGAGTCAACATGTCAAAGTACTGCTAGCTTTGAGAAAGCCTTTGTTTTCAGTATGGACTTTTTGGACTTCATGGATTTCATGGATTTGTTGGATTTCACACATGTTTTCAGTCATGTTCAGTTTTTGGACTTGCTTGCAAGAGCTGAGAGTCTGCTTTGCACTGTTCCGCAGCTGTTTCGAACTATGTGTTCCTCCTGCAGCTGTTCTGGACCACGAGGTGGCTCAACTCGCCGCTCAGGTACCTAGGTACGCGCTTCCGGAACCCGCAGCGATGGATGGAGAGGATGACCTTCGTTCGGAAGCGACCACTCGTGTGGATTGGACGACCGGCGAGCCTTTGAGGAAGGCCAGTCCAGCTGCTGAACCTGCAACGGCTCCCGCAGAGCCTGTGGTGGCTCCTTCGAATCCTGCAGAGCCTGTGTTGGCTCCAGTCGCCGAGGTACCTACTGTGCCAGCTGTTGAGGCATCTGCGATTCCAGCAACTGAGGCACCTACATCTCATGCAGATCCAGATCCTGTTCATGAAGCTCCAGCAGAACCTTCTGCCCCAGTGATGTTGACCGGTGAGGTCCAGCCAAAGGCTCCAGCTGAGGCAAGAACTGCAGAAGCTGGATCACTGTGTGGTGTTTCAGCTACCCCTTCACGCTCCAAGAAGAGTTCCGTTGCTTCCAAGCCGTCTCGAGCGACGAGGATCAAGCTGCTCAAGAGCTTGCGTCGGACTTTGTTTGGTCCAAATGCCGAGGTGAAGAGAGCTCCAAAGCGTCTTGCAAAGAAGCGCAAGGCGAAGAGTGTGAAAGATGAGGATGAAGAGTCGGATGGAGTACCTCCACGTCCGAAAGCCAAGGCGAAGGCAAAGGTGAAGAGCAAGGCAATGCCGCGTCCTCGTGGCACAGTGCGTGGCTTCTTCGATGCTCGTCGCGGCCGCAGGGTGGAGGTCCCCTTGCGTGGCCCCAATGAAGCGCCCAAGCCAAGGATGATTCGGGCCTTCAGTGGCTTCAGCTTTCGGCCAGTCAACAACCTGAAGTGCAGGATCTGTGGCAACTATGGCCATGTGGCAGCTGCGTGCATCCAGGGACAAAGGTCAGTGAGTTTGACCACTGGGAAGATCCAATTGAGTCAGCGGATCGATCCAAAGAGCGATGAAGACCTTCGAGGTGATGCATTGCCCAACTATGGATTTGAGAATCCTTTGAGCTCACAGATCAGCCCAGGCGACAGTGTGTCGCAGGTTGGCTACACCCCTGTTGCGCCCAAGTATGCACTGCCGATCCCAACAGCTCCAGGTATGTCAGCCGAGGAGCGGCTGAGACTGTTGCTGAAGAAGAGGAAGAGCGAAGAGCCCCAGAGGAAGCAGGGCTATGAGACATCGGATGAGGTATGGCCTCGAGATGAGGAGACCGGTGATCTCAAAGAAGAGCTGCGCAGGAAGCGCAAGAGGCTGGAGATGAGGCCCTTCACGAAGGAGGTCCGCGATCGGCCAAGCTATATGCGGCCGCTAGCGGAGGACCCCCGCAAAAGCCGAGCGCGACCAAGCGAAGCGGCGCCAAAGCGCCCTCCTCCGGTTCCACCACCGAAAACACCACCGAAGGGACCCATGCCACCTCCGCCGAAGAAGAAGGCGATGCCAGTTGCTCCGAAGACTCCTCCGAAGAAGCCAGCTGAGAAGCCCAAGACTCCTGCAAAGGAAGTTGCAAAGACAACACCTGCGAGCGAGGCTCCAAAGAGTGAGGCTGCAAAGGCACCAGCGCCTGCTCCGAAGGCAATTGGGATTGAACCTCCCAAGACCCCTCCAAAGATGGCTCCAAAGACTCCGAGTGAAGCCTTTCGATCAGTTAGCCCAACTCTGGTCGATGCTGCAACTCCGGCAGAGCCGAAGCCAAGTGGGGTAGAGCGGACAAAGGATCCGTCGCCCATGAAGCACCCTGAGGGATTGCCAGAGCAGACTGTTGAGGAGAGTGTGTCACCGAAGGTGAGTCCAAAGCCTCCTCCACCGCCGTTGGACAGCCCGCCTACAGCTCATCAGGAACCACCGCCTCCTCCAACTGAGATCGGATTCCCTGTGACGGGACCAGCTGAGGTACCCAAGTCTCCCATGGTGGCGCCTGTTTTGCCGAAGTCTTCACCGGCGAGGCCGCTCATTGATTGGGGAGCACCAGCTTCAGTGGAATCGCCGATCGGTTCGACCAGCGACATCACAAGGATCATGGGATTAGCGTCTCAACACACTTCAACACCAATGGGCCAAACTGGAAGTTCAGTGGCCAGTTCAGGGACATCCAGACCGGTTCAATGCTGCATCGCATGCCATGGTACTGGAGTGTTGACAGCTGAGCAGAATGTGACCATCTTTTCGCTGTTGGCCTCAATGCCCCCGCGAAGTGTGATGCTAAGATGTTCAAACGAAACGTTGTCAAGAGTGACTTTTGAGTGTGACTCAGCCGTTTCAGTCATCCGAGAGTCGGATCAACTCAGGTACCCTCGATATACTGTGCTAGAAGTAGCTTGTGGCAAAGAGTCAGTCATTGCAAGATCTTGTCGAGAAGTTGACTATGTTCGATACATAGGAATCCATGCAAACCTCCAGGAGATCGGAGTTCGCAATAAGGTGCTGACCCTGCTCCGTGATGGATTCAGTCGATGCCCGCATGGATCTCAGGTGGCATGTCTCGTGCACATCTCTCTTCCTTGCAAAGGTGGATCCCCTCTCTTGAATTTTTGGGGAAGGAATGAGAAGCACGAGAAAGAGTTCTTCTATCTGTTGAAGTCATCTGGAAAGTATCTTGATGAGATCAAGTCATCTGAAGGAGTGTCTGTCACTGTTTCGTTCGAACTGCCGAGAAGCAACCAATACTGGAAGAGTCGAGATCTTCAGAATTTCTTCGAAAAGCACGGAATGGCATATCAGAGTGAATGTCATGCTTGTTCAATGGGATTGGAAACCCAGAGTGGACTTCGAATTGGCAAAATTTTCAGGATTCAGAGTTCCAACTCGTGTTTGAGTCAGCGGTTGAACTCTCGCTTTCAATGTCGTTGCAATGAGAGTCATGCACCATTCAATGCAGTTGATTACCGTGATACTGAAAGGTACTCAATGAAAATTGCTCGTTTTCTTGTGAAGAGTTTTTGCATCTGTGCATCCTTGAGGTGAGAACCCAAGCTGAGCAACCGACTGGCTGAGAGCCTTTGCTTTTGTTGCTGCAC